TCTTTGTTCCTGTTTCAGAGAACATGAGTTATTCATTTCTGTCAGGACCTAAAGACAATTTACAGCAGAATCTGAAGAAGTGGAGGAAATGACCAACTCTGACTTTAATATACTTCAATAAATGTCCAGTAAAAGGTAGTGAACTAAAGAGGGCTGGTCTGAGCTAGAGGCTGACATCCTTTCAGAAGAAAAGACAGAAAGGTGAATAAAGGCTGTTACAGCTGTGGTGTGTGTCTGCTGGTTAAACGTGCAGGACGTACGTCGTGTGAAGTCATCAATCAAACAGAGACAGAACATAGAACATGGATTGTGATCTTTAGTGAAGACGCTCCAGCCAAATGGAGAGTGTGAAGTAATGAAATGTTAAAATAAAAACTAACAGGAGAAGGATGGGATGATTTCTGTACCCTGCATGCTCTGAGATAGGCATCAATTAGGAGCGCTCGACGATTTAATGAAAGTCTGAACTGTCGCATTTCAATGTGAACGTTTTCATGTTCTTGATTGTAAACTAAATCTGTGATTTAAAATGAAAGATTTGAAGTTGGGGAGTCTCTCTGTGAGGAGTCTGCATGATCTCTCCGTCTTCCTCCCACAGTCCAGAGACATGCTCGTTAGGTTAACTACTGACTCTAAATCACCCGTAGGTGTGAATGTGAGTGTGTCAGGCCTGTGATTGGCTGGTGATTAGTCCAGGGTTTAACCCCACCTCTCACCCAATGACAGCTGGGATCCCCAAACAGGAAAAAGCAGTGAAGATAATGGATGGATGAAAAGGAGTCAATCTCATGATTACTTCATCATGGTTTTAATTGTTGTTGTATTTTAAATAATGAATATGTGACTCTTTGATCCAGTAGATGTCGCCCTTGGGCTCCAGCATGAAACCAAAACAAACAAACTGCTGTTTTGGCCACGCCTCCTCCATCCTGAAGCCTCCGCCCTCCATCCTTCAGAACTGTCACTCAAATGCTCGTATGACTGTTTTAAGCAGAGACTTGTTGATATGTTTGTGAGTGAGGCCCTTTGTGTGTTTCAGGGTGCAGGATGGACGTGTGGAAACAAAGCACAAATATAAATCTATTTAAAAACTATGCAACGATATTATGGCAGGTATATGAAAGAGGAAAGGTTGTTTTAGGGGTGTTCCTATTTATTTTGTAACACCAGGTGGATATTAGGATTGTAATAATGCTGGTTATTATTTGTGGTGTCAAATTAACGGGTCATACTTGTCAGTACATTAGTTGTAAATACATTTGAATAATATACCAGTTCATAGAAGAAACGTGAGAAAGGGGTGTACTAGTTTTTTTTGCACAGTGTTACGTTTATTTTGTAAGATTTTTTATTATCTTTATTTTACTTTAAGTTCAAAATGAAGTCCTTCATTCATCCATTCATTCATTGATCTTGATTTGCTCCTTTACTGGTGGATTTGGAGTAATGATAGTGTGTGTTCTTACACACTGCTGCCCCCTGCTAAGCAAAGCAAGTGCTCACCACCAAACCTCATTTAGAAATCTCTCTATTAACGCTGCGTCCCATGTTTGGACATTAACAGCTGGATATAAATAAAGTATTTTTGTATTTATTTAACCGTTTTCAATCCTTCTTTGATTCGGCTTGTGTAAAATCCGTAAATCACGACTCTTTCAAACAAACCGATCTTTTGTGTCTGCTGAGGGACGCCGCGCCTCCGCCCACCGCCGACTCTACAGCGGCCAAAGAACGCGGCAGACTGCGTTTAAAAAGTATGAAATGCTGCTACACAACCGACGACCAGCTAAAGGAGTTCATGCCGAATTGAAGACGGACTCTCATGCAGTACATCCACAGTCACAACTTGTAAATATATAGTGTGGAAATTTGAGCACACGAAATATAATACTAATGTCCCAGATGTCTCAAGGGAGTCTGGCCCCTCTTTCACTTCACCCGGCAAAACGCGACGTTTAGCTTAGTCCAGGCTAAAAGCTAGCTGAATGCTATCATCAGGATCTGTCGTGTTTTCCAAACAGAATCAAATCCCTGCAGAAGCTCTAATCATTCAACTGAATACATGCAGTGAGAGTGTTAGCTGTTAGCCGCTAGCCCTGCTGTCAGTACCGATGTTTTCTGGACGTGTCCCCGCTGTGTGATGGTCTTGCTGTGCCGCTCGTTTGCCACTTTCATCCGCTGCACCGCCGACATGTTTCGGGTTTAAATACCGGTCTGGACCGGGGGGGGGGGCGGAGAACCGGGAACAACCGGGAGGAGAAAGAGGAGAAGGTACCGCAGAAATGCCCCCACCGGACTGGAGTCTGTTACCGTGTTGTTCGGCAGTTAACGTCCGAATGAAATGCTAACCGTTAGCTAGCTGCTAGCGTACGAGCTAACTCTGAAGCGCCTCTACTCGTCACGTGACAAGGGGACAAAATGGCTCCCTGCTGTCCTCTAGTGGCGGGAAAAGATTGTAAAAGTGTCTTAGAGATACTTTTCGATTTAGTCCAGCAGATATGTGAACTATATAAAAGAATTGTGCTTTTGATGATAAAAGCATGACACTTGGCACACTGTTGGAGCCTTAAGGAAGACTTTTGGCTATAGGGCCATCGCATATTTGTCCTATGGCGCCAATGGCAGCCATTTTCAAAAAGGCCGCCATAGTTATTATTTTTACCAGTAACTTAGGTTCTAGACCAGCTAGGAGCTTGATTTCAGTGACTAGTCCAACATGTCCAAGGATGGGGAATCCAGTGGTAATATTTATTTGATGTGTTTAGTAGTATTTAGTTCCCTAAATGCTAATTTATGTAGTTAGGTAGTTACTAGCATGTTGTTAATAGTACCACTTCATTCTTTATCCATGAAAATGTAGGATTAGTCACTGAAATCACGATCATAGGTGGTCTAGAACCTAAGATACTTTATACTTTAAATTGATACCCGGTGGCGGCCATTTTGAAAATGGCTGCTAATGGCACCATAGGACAAATGTGCGATGGCCCTATAGCCAAAAATCTTCCTTAGGGCATGCTCTGACAGTGTACCAAGATTCATGCTTTTATCATCAAAAGCACAATTCTTTCACATATCTGCTGGACTAATAGTGACGATACAATTTCTGTTATTTAATGATCAATATTATTTTTAAAAAAATACCAAAGCTTTAAAAAACAACATCTATATCAAAACAGTGATGTGTAGGAGAGGAATGAATCCATCAAACATGTTAATCAGTATACCCTAACTCACTTGGTGCCCTACGCAAGATTTTAGCTGGTACCCCTTGGTACCCCACCAATCACAATATTCATACACTTCAAGAAAACTGGCATACAGCTTTATGGTTTACAGCTTTCTTTACGATCAGTGTGAATCACTTCTGATAACTGGTCTGCCCTCCTCCACTACAAAGAGCACGGAACGAGCAGGGAGCAAGAAAATATGACCTTTTTAAATAGGTGATGCAGATAAAATAACATTAAGTAATAGTTAAACACACGTTTCCTTCTTTGTCTTCTTATTTTCGTCAACTGTTCTTTCTCACTCATTTCGGGTACCAGGATGCCCCCTATGGACAGCAGGCGCCCCTAGCATTTGCCTATACTGCCTATGCCACGGGCCGGCCCTGATGATAATAGCACACTGTTCAGAAATGTTACCAACTTTTTTTTGTGTGTTATATTCCCTATTTCAAGTTAGCAGCTTTAGACCTAAAAAGATTTCCTCAAAAAAGACAAGTCAGATCAGTTTACCCTCCGCCATTATTGTTGACAAAGCTGATATCAGAAGTCCTGCCCCTTCTTGCTTTTGATGCGTCAATCAGGGAGAAGTGACATTGACCATTGTTACGCTGTTCCAACTGAGAGCGCCGCTGTGAGTGCAACGACAAAAAACAGCTGACGGTGAGGGTGTTTTTACATTCTGAACGCTGTGCACTGAAAACGCTGAACTACGATGGTTTTGTTTTAAAAAAACGAGCGCTAGCCTACAAAAAGCGCTCTGTGTCAACACAGTTACAGCTCCATTAGGCCATTTCATTTTTCTACTGTTCTTGTCCCAGTATACAAGCATTGAGAGAGAATCCAAAGTCTTTATTTGTGATTTTTCACACTTAAATGTAGAAATCAAGTATCTCCTCTGAAAATAACTCTGTGAGTCATGACTGTCTACAATGGGTGTAACACCCGAGTCCCACTGTCTGTGATGTTTTCAGAGTTTTCAGAGTCCTATCTTCACTTTGTTTACATCGCCTGGACGGCCGGCTGACTCCTCCCCTCGTGTATAAAAGTTGTTTAATTGAGGGACTAGAGAAAAGAAGAATAACATACTGTACTCACTGCTTAACTGTGTTTCTAGATCACGCTCATTTCAGGTAAATTTACATGCAGTGTGAAGATACCAGCATAATAAAGATCGCTAGCATTAGCATGCTAACACAACAATGCACCGCGAGTTGTTTTCGTTTCATGCTGGAGCTCAAGGGCGACATCTGCTGGATCAAAAAATCACATATAAAGCCTTTAACAGAAAAATGTCTGACTGCTATCCCCTTTAAATTAGTCACTTTTGGACCTTCTTTCGGTTGACTTTTCTAACAAGTTAGCAGACAGCTAGGTGGTGGTTGTATGTGGAACAGGGAAAACATGGACGACTTTACAGATCTACCTGCTCTACACTTTACTGTTGGTTCAAACATGATGAGAGCCATCCCTCTAGCAGCTGATATCTCAAGGCAGACGACAATGTGACCTCTGCTATGTTCCACACAGTTTGACCTCAGGGTCAAAGCCCGGTGCAGAGACTGTGGAGGACTGTGGAGCGTGCTCAGAGGATCTGGTCCAGTTTGGGTCGGATTGGGACATAAACATGCAAAAGTAAATCGACACCCAAACCACATTTTCAAAGTGTCTTACTCCGACTTATGTGTATTTTTAGAAGTCCAGTTTAAGTCGCACTATCATCACAATAAATCCACAGACTCTTTAACACCAAAGAACACAAGACAAGAGGAGCCCGATGGAGTTTCTCTTTTATTTTCTTCCTGCTGTAACCAGCAGTTTGTCTAAAAACACACAAACACACATCTTCATGTTGGACACATGGTCGTCTCTCACACACACACACACACACTGCTGGCTGTGAAGAGCCAGCGCTCTGATAGGAGGAGAAGGAGGAGCTTCCTTGTCCCCTGATGTCTTCCTGTTTACGTCTACCTGTGTCTACGTCACTACAGCAGGAGAACGTCTCCGTTAATGTATTCCTTCATTAGTGCACGTCAAACATGGAGTCTGTGACTGGTGGACCGGGCGGTCCCACTGTCACAGGTCATGGTGGGTCAGACTGGAGTCACCTGTTGTGACATCACAAATGTCCTGAAGCTTTCTCAGAGAGAGTCAGTCTACACAGCGGTAAAATCTACCACAACAGTCGTAGGACAAAGCTGTCGCCATGGTAACACATGTCTCTAACAGCCCAACCCGCTGATGGAGCCGATGCGGTCCATCTTCATCCCGAAGCATCCTCTGCCTCCGACCATCGACTTCCTGCTCCGCTTCCTCATCTTGGATTGGCGCTGCAGGAAGTCCATGAAGAACCGAGGGACCGCCTCCTGTCTGCCGGCCAATCCTCTTGCGGCGCCACGACTCACGGCCACTCCCTTAAATGGAGACGAGGTGGAGGGAGCTGGGCGTCCAGCTGAGCCCTCTGTGATGTCATCAGAGGTGGGAGGGGCCAGGATGAGAGAGGAGAGGTGAGAGCCGAACAGAGAGTGGAGGACCTGAGGGTGTAAAACATGAAAGCAGTTTTATTTATTTTTCTTTGAAAGTCTTTTTTACAGAATTTGAACTCTGTCATTGAACGCAACACGAGGTCATGATACTAAAAGTTTAAGTTTTTCTGTTTTAATCAACAAACAATAATCATTAAATGATGAAGATGATGATGATGATGATGATGATGATGATAATCATGATGATGATGATGAAGATGATGATGAAGATGATGAAGATGATGATGAAGATAATCATGATGATGACGATGATGGTGATGATGAAGATGATGATGAAGATAATCATGATGATGATGATGAAGATGATGATGATGATGATGAAGATGATGATGAAGATGATGATGAAGATGATGATGATGGTGATGAAGATTATGATGATGATGATGAAGATGGTGATGATGATGATGATGGTGATGAAGATGATGGTGATGAAGATTATGATGATGAAAATGAAGATGAAGATGAAGATGACCATGATGATGGTGATGAAGATTATGATGAAGATGATGAAGATGATGATGAAGATGGTGATGATGATGATGATGAAAATGAAGATGATGATGATGATGATGATGATGAAGATGATGATGATGAAGATGATGAAGACCATGATGATGAAGATGATGAAGAAGATGATGAAGATGATGAAGACGATGATGATGATGATGATGAAGATGATGATGATGAAGATGATGATGATGATGAAGATGGTGATGATGATGATGATGAAAATGAAGATGATGATGATGATGATGATGATGAAGATGATGATGATGAAGATGATGAAGACGATGATGATGAAGATGATGATGAAGATGATGATGATGAAGATGATGAAGACGATGATGATGAAGATGATGATGATGAAGATGATGAAGACGATGATGGTGATGAAGATTATGATGATGATGATGAAGATGGTGATGATGATGATGATGGTGATGAAGATGATGATGATGGTGATGAAGATTATGATGATGAAAATGAAGATGAAGATGAGGATGACCATGATGATGGTGATGAAGATTATGATGAAGATGATGAAGATGATGATGAAGATGGTGATGAAGATGATGATGAAAATGAAGATGATGATGATGATGATGATGATGAAGATGATGAAGATGATGAAGACGATGATGATGATGATGATGAAGATGATGAAGATGATGATGAAGATGATGATGATGAAGATGATGATGATGATGGTGATGGTGATGATGATGAAGATGATGATGAAGATGATGATGATGATGATGATGAAGATGATGATGATGAAGATGATGAAGACGATGATGATGATGGTGATGAAGATTATGATGATGAAAATGAAGATGAAGATGAAGATGACCATGATGATGATGATGAAGATTTTCTCAGACCTGTGAGTTGTCTCTCTGAGATGAAGGTCTGGACTCCACAGCGATGGTGAGGAAGAGGAGGACGAGGAGAGGAAGGGCCGGGAAGGAGGAGGAAGATAAAGACGCCATCTTTGTTTGGATCAAAAATACAAATCACAAACTTAGATTAAAATCACCATCACCATGGAAACGTGTGCAAACTAAACTAAACCACAATGATCAGAAGGTTTGATCATAATGAATCCTCCTGTTTGGATCATATTTAAGAAAGAGAAGAAGAACTCACTGTGACTGAACGACGGAGAGAAATAATCCAAACAATTCAAAATGTCAAAAACACAACAAACTCCAGGAAGTTCTGCCGGTCGTCCGTCAACACTTTCACCTGCTCAGAAAAGTTCAGATAAAAAAAAGAAGATTTTATCGTTCTCAGACAACGTCGTAAAAATTGGACGTTTTTTGAGTGAAGTTTGGTGTGTGTGTGTGTGTGTGTGTCTGTCCTGTCGCAGTGCCAGGACGGGTCGGTGGTCTGCGTGGAGACCTCGGAGACGAGCTTATATACCACGCCACGCTGTGATGTCACACATTCTTTCTGCTGTTACCCACGACGACACACACACACACACACACACACACACACACACACACACACACACACACACAGACACACACACACACAGACACACACACACACACACAGACACACACACACACAGACACACACACACACACACACACACACACACACACACACACACACACACACACAGACACACACACACACACACACAGACACACACACACACACACAGACACACACACACACACACACACACAGACACACACACACACACACACTCTCATCCATTGACTGTGTGTGTGTGTGTGTGTGTGTGTGTGTGTGTGTGAGATAAAAATATCAGCCAATCAGACGTAAAGGTTCATGAAAATAATGAGAACGAGTTCAAAAGTAATCTGTATTTAATCGGGAGGTCCTGGAGTCCTTGAAAGGGTTCCAGTGATTGCTGTGAAGCTGCCTGGAATCCTTGAGAAGGTTCCAGGTTCAGATCAAACATTTTCTACATCAAGGTACCTTGAGGTCTTTCAGGTGTCCTTGAGGTGTCCTTGAGGTCTTTCAGGTGTCCTTGAGGTCTTTCAGGTGTCCTTGAGGTCTTTCAGGTGTCCTTGAGGTCTTTCAGGTGTCCTTGAGGTCTTTCAGGTGTCCTTGAGGGTATCTAAAAGTCCATGACAGGACTTTAAAAAAGGGCCTGTACTCCTGGAAAGTTTAAGGGTCTTTAACAGAAAATAAATGCCAATCAGGATGCTTGAAGGTTCCTTGAAAAGTTTCCATGATGCTTTCAGGGGCCCCAAGGTCCTTCGAAAGGAACCTGGAGATGATAAGTCCTCGAGAAGGTTCCAGGTAAAACAGGACCCTAAATGATTAATAAAGAGGTTGCAGCTGTCCTTGAAAGAGAACCTTGAATTCTAAATGCAATTCAAGGAACCTTTAGATAATATCCTGAGGTCCTTGAGAAAGTACAAATGGTTCTGGAGGAGTTCCACGAGTCCTTGAAGATGTAATACTAATATTTGGGAAGTCATTGAGAAGCCTGAATTGGTGCTTTACAAGGGTCCAGGATGCCTGGAATCTTCTGCAGAGGTCCTTGAATTGATATCAGGAGTCTCTAATGCGGCTTCAGGGTTTCAAGGCACTTTGGAGTTCCAGGAATTGTTTAGTATTTACCTGGAATCCTTGAGGAGGTCCTGACAGGCATCAGGGGCTATACCCTGAAGTATCTGTCCTGTTGCCATGGTTACCAGCAGGTGGTCTGACCTACAGTTATACAGGTTAACTCTCCTTCATCATCATCATCCTCTCTCAACCAATCAGATCGCAGCATTCTGTCTCTCTCTCTCTCCCTCAGACACTCATGGCCTCTGACCTCGCTCGTCCTGCCTCCTCGCCTCCTCGTAAACTGTCACCGCGGCGACTCGATCGTTGTAAGCAACTATTTCCTGTGGAAAGGGGGCGGGGCTAATGAGATTCACATCGTCCGAGGATAGGTGTGTGTGTGTGTGTGTGTGTGTGTGTGTGTGTGTGTTTGTGTTTAATGACCCCCCGTCGTCTTTGTCCCAGTCAGACAAAATCCCGCCCCCCATTCAGCCTCTGACGTCATCATCCACGCACATAAAACACACACACACACACACACACACACACACAGTTAGAATAGCTCATCAATCACCTTATTAGAAAGAAAGAGGTCGCTGATCACAAAAACGTGTGTGTGTGTGTGTGTGTGTGTGTGTGTGTGTGATGAACAGAAATTCCTGCCCCCCTTAACAGTGACCCACACACACATTCAGGTTCTCACAAATCAGGTTGGACCAGATAAAACAGTTCTGTGATATATTTTAGTGGTACAGGGATCCTTGAGTAGATTTAAACTGCACCTTGAGAGGTCCTTGAAGGGGTTCTACAGGTTCCTGTGGAGGTTTTGGGAAGTCCTTAAGGGGTACCAGAGGATACGTGAGGGAGCAGGTCGATAAATCAGTTTGGACTAAACCACATAACCACATCAACATGAAGAATCATTCAACATAAACAACAAGAAGTTAAACAAACACCAAACCCTGCAGTTCCTCCAGTGTCCACTAGAGTCTGTCTCCTGCAGTGAGTCAGTCCCATAGAGCTCTATGTTAAAATGTCTAACTTTACAGCTGCAGTTCCTCCAGTGTCCACTAGAGTCTGTCTCCTGCAGTGAGTCAGTCCTCATAGAGCTCTATGTTAAAATGTCTAACTTTACAGCTGCAGTTCCTCCAGTGTCCACTAGAGTCTGTCTCCTGCAGTGAGTCAGTCCTCATAGAGCTCTATGTTAAAATGTCTAACTTTACAGCTGCAGTTCCTCCAGTGTCCACTAGAGTCTGTCTCCTGCAGTGAGTCAGTCCCCATAGAGCTCTATGTTAAAATGTCTAACTTTACAGCTGCAGTTCCTCCAGTGTCCACTAGAGTCTGTCTCCTGCAGTGAGTCAGTCCTCATAGAGCTCTATGTTAAAATGTCTAACTTTACAGCTGCAGTTCCTCCAGTGTCCACTAGAGTCTGTCTCCTGCAGTGAGTCAGTGCCGATGGAGCTCTATGTTAAAATGTCTAACTTTACAGCTGCAGTTCCTCCAGTGTCCACTAGAGTCTGTCTCCTGCAGTGAGTCAGTCCTCATAGAGCTCTATGTTAAAATGTCTAACTTTACAGCTGCAGTTCCTCCAGTGTCCACTAGAGTCTGTCTCCTGCAGTGAGTCAGTCCTCATAGAGCTCTATGTTAAAATGTCTAACTTTACAGCTGCAGTTCCTCCAGTGTCCACTAGAGTCTGTCTCCTGCAGTGAGTCAGTCCTCATAGAGCTCTATGTTAAAATGTCTAACTTTACAGCTGCAGTTCCTCCAGTGTCCACTAGAGTCTGTCTCCTGCAGTGAGTCAGTCCTCATAGAGCTCTATGTTAAAATGTCTAACTTTACAGCTGCAGTTCCTCCAGTGTCCACTAGAGTCTGTCTCCTGCAGTGAGTCAGTCCTCATAGAGCTCTATGTTAAAATGTCTAACTTTACAGCTGCAGTTCCTCCAGTGTCCACTAGAGTCTGTCTCCTGCAGTGAGTCAGTCCTCATAGAGCTCTATGTTAAAATGTCTAACTTTACAGCTGCAGTTCCTCCAGTGTCCACTAGAGTCTGTCTCCTGCAGTGAGTCAGTCCCATAGAGCTCTATGTTAAAATGTCTAACTTTACAGCTGCAGTTCCTCCAGTGTCCACTAGAGTCTGTCTCCTGCAGTGAGTCAGTCCTCATAGAGCTCTATGTTAAAATGTCTAACTTTACAGCTGCAGTTCCTCCAGTGTCCACTAGAGTCTGTCTCCTGCAGTGAGTCAGTCCTCTAAACCTGGTCACATGGTCAGTGTTTGTCGTTACTGATGCTGTTTCAACGTTGGACTTCTGGTTTCTAACTCACCTGTCCGCTGCCCGACAACGCTCTGACACGGAGAAGTCAAGCCCCGCCCTCTTCATCTTGTCCAATAGCAGGTCCAGAGCCTAATGACGGACAGGAACACAGAACAACCAGGTCAGCTGATGATCCCTCTCAAGGTGTTAATACTTCACCTGAGGAGTTACAGAGTGAACCGAGCCGTGTGTGTGTGTGTGTGTGTGTGTGTGTGTGTGTGTGTGTGTGTGTGTGTGTGTGTGTGTGTGTGTGTGTGTGTGTGTGTGTGTGTGTGTGTGTGTGTGTGTGTGTCCTACCTTCACCCACATCAGGTGAGGTGACCGTCAGTTTGTCAGCATGGATATGAACTCCTCCCTGAGTCCTGACACAAATCAAATGTAATGAGGTCATCGTGGTCTATTGATCTTTAAAACATCAGATATAGCAACATGCTATGCTAACTTCCTGTCTCTCATGTAGCAGGTGTTCAGTCAGTGTGTCACCTGAACTCAGGTAGCTCAGAGTCAAACTGCACGTTGTTCTGATGAACCACGCTCAGGTTTCCATCCACAGCCACCACCTTCAGCTTCATGGGGGGGGGGGGGGGGGTGAGGGGGGGGGTCAACAGTGAAAACACCAAATATCAGTTTTATTTTCAGCACTTCAGTTTTCATGTTGTCGATTGCCCCCTCTGGGTGGAGAGAGAGTCTGATTTTCTCTCTCCAGTATCGGTCGGGTCCTGATTGTCTTGTGTCCGTGCAGAGGAGTCGGGATGAGATGTGTGCAGGTAGATGACGTCATGAAATGCCCTCCCACAATTCCTCTAATAGGTTTGAAACTGTTTGAGTGAGCAGCGAGGTTCCACCCTCTCTCTCTCTTTTAGTGTTTACATATATTAAATGTTGTTTTTCAGCGGGTTGATACCATGGCAACAACGAGGAGTCCTACACACACAATATGGGTCATTTATTATTTGAATTACTAAAAGTTGCAGGAAATGACCTCCACAAAGTCTAGATTGCATTAAAACATTTGTATTGATGTGGAGTTTGGCTGCAGGTTCCTTCCTCTCCTGTACACCTACACCTGTCTAACAGGTATGAAACATGTTGACAGCCTCGATGTGACAGTTCTGTTCTGTGTTTAAGCTACAAAGTCCATCCTCAGAGCTCATCCTGAACCTCCACAGGACTCACACTCTCTCTCCGCTTCTTCCGCGTCTGCGCGAAAAACGAGAAACTCTGCCTGCCTGCACGCAGCCACGTGCGGCGGACACGTCATCCTCTCGGACGTGCAGGTGAGAGAAGGAAACAAAAAGGTGAGTTTTACCTGCTGAGTGCTGAAATCAAAACCAAGATAGAGAAAGTCCCGAGCAGCGGCCATCACCACAAACACACACACACACTGAGACACACAGTCAGTGAGGAGAGGAGGAGGAAGGGTTAAACTCTTAAAGAGACAGTAACACACTCACGTTCATACATAAAGACACGTTAATGATTCTCAAAGGGCCACAACATCTGCTTCAGATAGTCACGAGTTCAGTGACATGACCGGCTCAACGGCCAAATAAAGAGAGACACTACACTGCAGCCTCTACCATCAGCATGTGAATGTGTGTGAATGGATGAGTTAATACAGGCGGACTCTTTACTCAGCGGCCTCTACCATCAGCGTGTGAATGTGTGTGAATGGATGAGTTAATACTGATGGACTCTTTACACTGCGGCCTCTACCATCAGCGTATGAATGTGTGTGAATGGATGAGTTAATACAGGCGGACTCTTTACTCAGCGGCCTCTACCATCAGTGTGTGAATGGATGAGTTAATACTGATGGACTCTTTACACAGCAGCCTCTACCATCAGCGTGTGAATGGATGAGTTAATACTGATGGACTCTTTACACAGCAGCCTCTACCATCAGTGGTGAATGGATGAGTTAATACTGACGGACTCTTTTCTCAGCGGCCTCTACCATCAGCGTGTGAATGGTGTGAATGGAGTTAACACTGACGGACTCTTTACTCAGCGGCCTCTACCATCAGCGTGTGAATGTGTGAATGGACGAGTTAATACTGATGGACTCTTTACTCAGCGGCCTCTACCATCAGCGTGTGAATGGATGAGTTAATACTGACGGACTCTTTACTCAGCGGCCTCTACCATCAGTGTGTGAATGGATGAGTTAATACTGACGGACTCTTTACTCAGCGGCCTCTACCATCAGCGTGTGAATGGATGAGTTAATACTGACGGACTCTTTACTCAGCGGCCTCTACCATCAGCGTGTGAATGGATGAGTTAATACTGACGGACTCTTTACTCAGCAGCCTCTACCATCAGTGTATGAATGGATGAGTTAATACTGATGGACTCTTTACTCAGCAGCCTCTACCATCAGTGTGTGAATGGATGAGTTAATACTGACGGACTCTTTACTCAGCGGCCTCTACCATCAGTGAGTGAATGGATGAGTTAATACTGATGGACTCTTTACTCAGCGCCTCTACCATCAGCGTGTGAATGTGTGTGAATGGATGAGTTAATACTGATGGACTCTTTACTCAGCGGCCTCTACCATCAGCGTGTGAATGGATGAGTTAATACTGATGGACTCTTTACTCAGCGGCCTCTACCATCAGTGTGTGAATGGATGAGTTAATACTGATGGACTCTTTACTCAGCAGCCTCTACCATCAGTGTGTGAATGGATGAGTTAATACTGATGGACTCTTTACTCAGCGGCCTCTACCATCAGCGTGTGAATGTGTGTGAATGGATGAGTTAATACTGACGGACTCTTTACTCAGCAGCCTCTACCATCAGCGTGTGAATGTGTGTGAATGGATGAGTTAACTGACGGACTCTTTACTCAGCGGCCTCTACCATCAGCGTGTGAATGGATGAGTTAATACTGACGGACTCTTTACTCAGCTGCCTCTACCATCAGTGTGTGAGTGGATGAGTTAATACTGACGGACTCTTTACTCAGCAGCCTCTACCATCAGCGTGTGAATGTGTGTGAATGGATGAGTTAATACTGACGACTCTTTACTCAGCGGCCTCTACCATCAGCGTGTGAATGGATGAGTTAATACTGACGGACTCTTTACTCAGCGGCCTCTACCATCAGCGTGTGAATGTGTGTGAATGGATGAGTTAACACTGACGGACTCTTTACTCAGCGGCCTCTACCATCAGCGTGTGAATGTGTATGAATGGATGAGTTAACACTGATGGTCTCTTTACTCAGCGGCCTCTACCATCAGCGTGTGAATGTGTATGAATGGATGAGTTAATACTGATGGACTCTTTACTCAGCGGCCTCTACCATCAGCGTGTGAATGTGTATGAATGGATGAGTTAACACTGATGGTCTCTTTACTCTGCAGCCTCTACCATCAGTGTGTGAATGGATGAGTTAATACTGATGGACTCTTTACTCTGCAGCCTCTACCATCAGTGTGTGAATGGATGAGTTAATACTGATGGACTCTTTACTCAGCGGCCTCTACCATCAGCGTGTGAATGTGTGTGAATGGATGAGTTAACACTGACGGACTCTTTACTCAGCGGCCTCTACCATCAGCGTGTGAATGTGTATGAATGGATGAGTTAACACTGACGGACTCTTTACTCAGCGGCCTCTACCATCAGCGTGTGAATGTGTATGAATGGATGAGTTAATACTGATGGACTCTTTACTCAGCGGCCTCTACCATCAGCGTGTGAATGTGTATGAATGGATGAGTTAATACTGATGGACTCTTTACTCAGCGGCCTCTACCATCAGCGTGTGAATGTGTATGAATGGATGAGTTAACACTGATGGTCTCTTTACTCTGCAGCCTCTACCATCAGTGTGTGAATGGATGAGTTAATACTGACGGACTCTTTACTCTGCAGCCTCTACCATCAGTGTGTGAATGTGTAGGTGTGACCTGCGGAGTAAAAGAGCTTTGATTAGTCAGAGGATTAGAAAAGTGCGACACAATCTCAAATCCATTCACCATGAGGTGGCAGCTCTTGTGACTGTGAGCATTGGGCCAAGGTGCTCTTAATTAGGCTGATTGGACGACAACACCTGAGAAGAAGGCACAACCTCACAGAGCCACAGAACTTTAAGAATAAGAATTAATAAGTCTCAGAGCGCCCAAAACTTCAAACAACATATCAAACAGCCACTGATGCACCGTCAGCTGATTTATATGAGACAATAAAATAATAATAAGACAATAAGAGAGTCATTTCATGCTGCATCTCATTGACCTGGTAAAAAAAAAAAACGGTGTCCCCTTCTTTCTTCTCCTCAAAGTCTGACGCAGCTGCTGCCTGTAACGGATCCTATCAGCCTCCTGATTGGTGAGGTGCTTATCGCCCCCTGGTGTTCACAAAGAAAACTACATAAACAAAACCCCAAATAACAGATGAAGAAGCTCCTACAATGAGGATAAATAACATATTAAACCCATATGGATATAAAACCTGCATCTCAGAAATAATTCAAGATGTGGTCAACTTCTTTTACAGTGTTAAATCATGGAGGTTGAGAATAATGAATCTACACGATATCCGATAATTTTATTAATCTGTATATTATTTTACTTGAACATTACATTTTTATTTTATTTCATTTTATCTAATAAATGTATCTACTTTAATAACTGTGTTTTACTACTAATTCGTTGTTGTTTCCTTCTAAAATGTCTTTATATCTCATCGTAATTCTCTAAGTCCTTACCATTCGATAAACATGCATGAAATATGTCCCTCTTACCGCACCGTAGTAGATCAAAGATCGTCTTTTCTTACGTCGACGAGTCTTGAAGTCGTGACGCAGCAGCCGAGCGTTCCTTCGATTTCTTCTGACGGCGGTGACGTTAACCGGCTCGTGAAACGTGCTCGGAGTGAGACCTCCTGCCTCATTCTTTACCTCTTTCCCGGAATCGACGACAAGCTACACCAAAACAACGTCGACGAGCTGAGGAAGAGGAGCATCAGCGGGGTTTAGCACATCTTTGTGAGCGGAGAGCTTTCTGTCAGCGTGTCCAGTCACATAAAGGTGACTCACAGAAACATTGAACAGCCTCTGGTGGCGGGTAAACGGAATTTAAACTCAGTTTTATAACAAGGAGAGTAATGTCAGCTATCAGCGTTATAACGTCTGAGTCAGTAGAGACAGAAATGTTAAATATTATCTTTTTAATTTAAACCGTTTCACTGAGGTTAAGATCTCTGGTTTCTGTTATTACACGTTAAGTTTAATATACAGCCGCCATTGTAGCTCTCTCCGTTTCTTTCGTTTTCTAAACCAACAAGAAACAATGCTGTTTAATGTCTAGTTTATAAAGTTCTTATAGTTTTCTTGGTGTCTGAACACAGGAGTGTTTTAAAGTGTTCAATGGAAGAAGCTTTCTGACAGATTTCATACAAATGATCAACATCTACGCATTAAAGTTCATTTTCCCCATCAAGCTCTACAAACTCAGTTTCCTACACTTCCCATGATGCAACTGGGTAGTGTCTGCTGTCCTTTGACTGAAACTACAATTTATAACTTAAAAGCTTTCATGGTTATAATATTTGGGGGTTTTAGTTTAAATTAGTTTTAAGTGGCTTTCAAATTAAAATTTTTAATCAGATTATTTTATTACATGTTTGAAATTCTATTATTTCACATTTAAAGAGGTGATGGCGGAGCTGAACACAGAGGCAAAGCTGAAGACGCAGCTGAAGCAGGAGAAGATCCAGCTGTGGAACCCTCCATACACCGACGACAACAACCAGCCAGGAGCGCAGCACATGCAGGTCAGCCTTTAAGGGGTTAAAACAAAATGGAACTACAAAACCCACTGATTGGTGCAGAGCTAGATCTTTAACTCGTGTGAGGTTCAGTCATCTGTAACATCTTCCTCTGTAGTGATGTCACACACTGAGAATAACAACCTGAGCCTGTGAGGGACCAAAACAGAACCGTACCATGTGATACGGTGCGACAGGAAACAACAGGATACGTTTTGAAACACACACATTTAGCGTCCTCCACTGTAGCATCTATAAATAAATAAAAACAATCCACATGAGAACAGAGAAGCATCGATTAAAACACATCGAATGCTCACAATCTGCATCAAACCTCAGTGAGCGTTAAACCATCAGTCAGTGGTTTAACATTTGGTTTTGTTCTCAGAGCTGGCGGAGAGATACGCCCCTCTGGTGTGTCTGCCGGTGCAGAGGTAGGGCGCTCTGGAGGCGATCCGGGTGCAGGCGGTGAGGAAGAGGAAAGGAAACAAGACGTTCAAGGAGACGAGCATGGCCACGCTGGAGCTGCTGCTGCCCAGAGACAGCAAGAAGTGGAAAACAAGCCGCCATGTTTACATCCACGTGTTTACATCCACATGTTTACAAACAGATGTTACATCCACATGTTTACCCACATGTTTCAAACAGATGTTTAATCCACATGTTTACATCCACATGTTACAAACAGATGTTTACATCCACATGTTTAAACAGATGTTACATCCACATGTTACATCCACATGTTTACAACAGATGTTTACATCCACATTTTACAAACAGATGTTTACATCCACATGTTTACATCCACATGTTTACAAACAGATGTTACATCCACATGTTTGACATCCACATGTTTACAAACAGATGTTTACATCCACATGTTTACATCCACTGTTTACATCCACATGTTTACAAACAGATGTTTACATCCACATGGTTTACAACAGATGTTTACATCCACATGTTTACATCCACATGTTTACAAACAGATGTTTACATCCACATGTTTACATCCACATGTTTACATATATGTTTACAAACAGATGTTTACATCCACATGTTTACAAAC